AAAGATCTAAATCCGGGACAAATATTGATTTTAGAAAAACCCGGGATACAAGTTGGAAATATCCGGTGCTGTCTCGGCCAAACCTGGACGTATCTGGTCACCTTAGTTTATAATATATATTGAGATTTGTTAAGTCAATGACATTAGATTAATTTTTCAATATTTTTTATTGATATAAGAAGTTAATGAGTATTATTGTATAAAATTTCAGAGATTACTAACTTGTTTATTTTTTTCTAGGGTCGGTTTTCCAGTTATGATCGGCAGCATACTAGTAACCACCGTGTACCTTATGATCGCCCACGTCGCCTTGCAATGGCATTGATGTCACATGTACCTGAAATTACAATTAGGTTTTATGAAATATTGTTTATAATTTAAGACACCCAATATTAATGCAATAATTGCAAACATGAGTAACGCACATTTAATGAGAATTGCATTTGATTCACTATTAAATACAGATTTTGACAAGCATTAGAAAAGAAAACTATGTTTTGAATAAGTTTATGAACATGAATTTATATAGTATTCGAAACATGTTTCAATAAATTCATCAAATACGCTTTAGGTGAAATAGCATATTTTTATGAGTATAGTGTATATTTTCTAAAACAAAATACGAGATTGGATGTACTATATTTTTAACTAAAAAATCATGTGTGCAATTTTATAATATTAAAAAAAAATCGAATTGCCTTAGTGTTCGTTCGCGAATATTAAACTGAGGTATAAGTATTAGTGAGTATTAAATTAAAATCTTAGAAAATTGTTCTTCGTACAAAAATAATTACACATCACTTTGTTGCACGTGAAATATTGTTCTTAATAATAAATCTGTTACTACAAATCTAATAAAGTTAATGTATAAACTAATACGAATCAAATCGTGGTAAGCACGTTACCATATCTAAAATATTTTTGATAATGTATATAATTATAGATCTATAAAAAATCATTGATAGTTTTTGAAGACAAAATGTAAAATTATTTTAGATGCATTTAAACAAATTGAAAAATGCATTTTGTCATTTCATTAACATAGATTTCCTATTAGACCATTTAAATAAACAATTGTTTAGTTTGAACAAATGGTGTAGGTGAATTTAATTTAAAGTATTGTAGACAACTAATTAAATTGATAAATAATGAAATGTAATTGTTATAAATCAAAATTTTCATATAAACTTGTATATGTATAATATAGTTTAGCGACATGTTATTTATAGATACGTATATTTTAGTAATTTATGATATTTGAGTTACGTTAATTTTAGAATAATTATTGATATTTTATTTTATCATAATATTTGTTTCTCACTTGCATATGTACATTTTATTTCGAAGATCTTTAACGATCTTGTAAAAGTTCAAATTAAAAAAAACCTCATAAAATTTCGTATGTGATAATTAAAAATATTCAATAAGATAAAGTGAATTCTAAATTTGATGAAAATATATATAATTGGTTACTAGTAATATATATTTTTTTATCAGAAATACTTGTTGTATAGGTAATTTTGTCACTGTAAATAAACAATTTTGAATAAAATTAATTTTATTTTTAATAAGTAATTTTCAATGAAATTTGTTAGATGATTGGAGCAAGAAGATGATTAGATACCGTACCAATTAAATCAGAAATTTAGATGAACATTAAATTAGTATCTAGATTTTGTACAAACAGGTACAGTATTTAAATTATATTTTTTAAATTAAAAACACAATATCAAATCTCACATAAAATTAATTTTGGCAAGTTTTGAAACAACAAATTTGGTTCTTTATATTTAAAATATTTTAAAAGGAATGTTATTTTACAGGGCAAAGTCGTCAGTCAAATCAAGTAGATCATGTGGATATGGAGATAAACCAATATGGTAAACCAAATGTTTCCAATGATTTTTTTGAAATTATTATTTTTATCCCTATTTCTGTTGAAACACATATTCTTCTTATAATTAGTTCTTCTATCGATATCCGACGTTATTTTGAAAAAATAAAATAACACAATAGAGAAGGGGTGTCAACCCCGGAGGGTGGTGGCGGAGTCCAAATTGTTTTCACTTTTGAACTTGAGGGTGAGATGAACTTAATTCCAAAATTTCATGCAAATTGGAGCACAGTAAAACCAAAGCGCTCCATTGACCGGAGGATTCTGAGTTTTTGCATATACGCATCAGGCACTATAATTACAATCGTCAAAGTGAGTCTTTCTCTCGATTTTTAATTTTTTTTTAATGTTAATCATGTTTCTTATCTTGTTTTTCAATCTGCAAATAATATTCTAAAGCTTGAAGAAACTATTTGATTTTCACTTCTCTTCTATTGCCTGAATTACTTCAGGAGCTTCAATTCTCGAACTCATATATATTTACTCAAAATTTAGTATCAAGTTGGAAGGCTTTTCAATATATTTACCGAGTTGTGCCTAATTTGTATTTCTTTAAAATATTCTATTCTTTACACATTTATTATGTAGCTTCGATTAAATACCCAATAAATCAATAGTTTATCCAATTTTAGATGAAACTATTGTTAGAAACAAATGCATTAATGTACGTAACCATTTACCATTACTCAATTCATATGTTTGAAATATGTAGCCAGGCGTATTTAGTTACTGAAACTAGAAAATATTTCTGTACGCAAGAATGTAATCAACCATTGGTGGCGTATTATTTAAAATGATCTTTGAAATTTAATTAATTAATATGATAAAATTTATATGCACATGTATAGGCACAAGTCTTAAATTCTTTTTTTACTTAAGTTCTTTAATTTTTGTATGGAGATAATCATGACAGACTGTATTGAATGTTAACAATAAATGTGTTAAAATGGGTTAAATATAATATCCAAACATTTTAAAAGCTATATCTTTCTTTGCTAATTCAATATAGTAAACACATTGGAGCAGTTTTAAAAGTATGTACCCCAAAATTTATATGAAATCAGATGCGGCTGCTCTGCTCTAAAAGTAAAGAGTTCGCTAAAAATTCGATTTCGTTAAAAATTTTGAAGATAAAAACTACTTAATATTTTTCGAATTTCTTTTTTTTATTTAAAAGCACAATACTTCCGGTTAACAGAAAATAATTCCTCGGCTGACTGCAGTAACCAACACGATGGGTCCAAGTTTGAAGTTTCAATACTATCAAAACGTCAAAAAGTAAAATACTATCTCATCTCTAACAATCTCGCACCTATATACAGTAAACCCTCGCTTTACGCGGCAAGTGCGTACCGTGCAGTATAGGAACCGTGCTATAAGAAACTCGTATTTAACATACAATTCAGACTAATTCGTAGTGCGTTCTATGGAACCTTACATAGTGCAGTATGGGAACCGTGTTATGAGAGACTCAGAGTTGGTACAAATCGCACCATTTTTATCGCGTTGTATGGAGACCAAGAAATACAACTTGAAGTAGGAGAAATACGGACGAAATGACGTAAATGACGTGACGAAATTGACACCTTATTCAAAAATTGGCGCGACGCAGTAATCAGCTCAAACGTGTTCTTAGGCGGCTATTATACAATCAGGCATGTCTAAAAGATAAAAGTCGATAACAAAATTTACAACAATACCCTTTTGCATAACGAACTTATGGGCTGTTGACCAAATACCGTGTAATAAGAAGTCCGTGTAGTCGGAGGGATGTCGGATTTTTAGTTCCGTGTAGTATGGGAACCGTGTACCCAGAGTGCCGTGTAAAGCGAGGGCCTACTGTATTCCTAAACATGGCTACGTTTTTATTTTAGTTATTATGCGCATCTAAAATTAAATAATTTTCATATAAATACCGCAAGAGTTACAACTAATTAATCATGATTAAAATGCTTCACCAGGAATATTCCTATTGTCATTTTTTTACTTTAATTTGAGGTAATGCTTTTGTTTTGCAAAATCGTTATAAGGTCATTTTTGTCCAACGAAGTTCATATAGATTTCTAATTTTTATTACTTCCGTTGCGTGATTCAAACATGTGTGCAATACCGTTCATTACATATGTATATCTTCTATTTGTTGTAACACAATATTTAACAGAATTCAAGTGAAAAATCATTGTTTAGTAACTTGGTGATTTTTTTTATAGATTTTGTGTTACTTACTTTATGCACTTTTTTATATTGAGTGTTAATTACTACAAATTTATCATTGCTTTGCAAGTTTTAATTAATCATTATAATTGAAACACTTTGCAAGTCTATAATATTTTAAATTTAAAATAGGGAAATTCCCTATTTTGGGAAATTTGGAGATTCCCTAAGACTATCTAGGCACTGGATGACTAAGCAAAGTGTTATCAAAATTGCCAAAAAATTCTTTTTCATCAATTAATTACGAACAAACAGTACACAGTTTATTTTTGATAAAATCTAATCAATTATAACTGATATCTTTCAAACAATTTCCGAAAATACTTCAACCAAAGATCAAATTTTGCCTTACCAAATTCACACTCACACTTTACACATTTTTCCGAATTTTGTTCTCAAACAATTCGGAATGACTTGAATTGTCGGCAAAATATTTAAGCATTTAAAATTAGCAAATCGAAATTATTTTCGAACACAAACCTAAATTTTAATTTAAAAATTAAAAAGGATAAGTATTTTAATGAAAATCTCAACTGATTGGTTGCTTTTACTGTTAAGATTTCAGAATTTATGATGGTTAAATGTATTTACATAATTTTTGTTCTAAGAATATTGTTTGTTTTCACACATGATAGTATAGATTATTCTGTACCAAATAGAAATTTTTTGAGAAGATGATAATTATTTTATCTAAACGCTTGCTAATAAAATATATTTATGATAAAACCTCTTATATCTAATTATCTAAATTCAAATTATTCAATGTTTTATATCTGATCAAGACCTAATTTTATTTATACTATTGGATTCATTTTCTTAATATTTAACTTAATTTCCTTGTTATCGATTGTTATGTCCTTAGTACTATAATAAACTTGAATAAAAATCTTAATTCTTAAAAAATATTTGTATTTGACTAGTATTCGACACTTATATTAATTCACATGAATTATAAAATTGGTTAACATCTTAAACTACTTTGCAGGGAATTTTGAAGCAGAGAACTGGTTTGGCACTGTCATCCACAAGAGATACCATCAAATCCAAGTTAATCTGATAAAAGATATAAACAATTGAGCATTATATATGAAAGGCAGGTAGAAAATTATTAAATATGATAAATAGTTATAATGTTATGACTCATTAAATTTTTTCAGGTTTTAAAGTTGCCTATACTCACTGCTGGGTAGGACTGAAGTACTGGAACTTTTAGGTTGTATGTGACTTTATTGTCTTTTTTCAAAGGGCAAGATCCTTCTTTAAGATGTTGGCAAGCATCACTTAGCTCTGGGGGTAATGGGTAAGGAACGGTAACACCGGCAACTTTGGCTTTTACCTACAAAGAAATAATGTATTAACTTATTTTTAAAAGGTATGTATTAATTTACTAGTTTAAGAACTGATTTATTAATATGCTTCAATCATCAAAATAACTGAATAATTTTTCTTGATCTGAATTATTTTGACAGGATTTTATAGATAGCAACCTAAACAAGTATCCTATCTCTATGTGATGAATTTTCATTACTACAATTTCTGCAATAGTGATTATTTTTTATTGAAGCATCAATGTCGGTTGAAAACTATGTCATTACTGCTTGATACCGGATAGTCCGAGGTGGTTATCGGAAGTGGGACCACTGAATCAAATCCCATAACCACTTAGTCACGGCCAAGCTCATAATTCAAGTTAAATGTTGTTATTAGAAATGCTTGTAGTTATATAAATTTAAAATATATATTACGAGTTAAGGTTTTGCTCCAATGATTATAAGATATTACTATTACGTTAATGGGCCGATATTGCCGCACAACAGACCAATGTTATGGCAAGGCCATGTTACGCTCCAACTTCCATACATTATGCTACCGAATCATACTGAACACTGTCAAAATGTCATGTATTTGCTGTTTATTCAGGCGGTTTACACTAAACTGCAACATCACTCGTATGTTGAGAAGGTTTTCTAACTGACAACCTGAGGAAAACGCCTGACTGTACAGCAACCACTTGGGTTTTGTCAATATTTAGAACGAATTAGTATGGAAAGTTCTTCATAACATAGTCTTGCCATAACATTTGTCTGTTATGGTGCAGAATCGGTTTAAATAGATAAGTTTAAATAAATAAGTTCTACTTTTTAAAGCACATTATGTATTTTTATATAAAAAGATTTATTCATGTAATTTATGTATTTTTTCAAATTTTAAATATTCATTTGATTGTATTGAATAAATAAATTGCAAAAATAAAAAAAATATTGTCAAAATATTTAAATACCAGTAGTAGTTCTCTTACACATTCAATTAGACCAATAGCCCAATAAATTCGAAATTTTATTTAGGTTTTTAATACGAACTTTTAAATTTTTTATCTTACTTATCTGGTTTCAGAGTAGCAGAATCGGCAGAGACAGTAAATTTAACATCAGTCAAGAGGTGCTTCCACGAACTAATGGACAAGGTAATTTGTCACATCCTTCGACGTCAACACTGGTTGGCAGAGGAGCTCCATTATCACCTTCAAGAGGTAATAATAAATTGATACATATATCTTAAATTTTTGACTTGATGGAAGACCAATATCAGCAACAAAATATTACCCACAAATAGTTGTAAGAAATTTTGAAGACAATATAACATTTTTTTTCCATTATTTTACATTTTTGTAGCAAACCAGAAACAATATCCTATCTGTGCATTGCAAAAATAAAATTTCTACATCAGAATTTAACTATGTATGAATCATTAATTCATATTTCCCTAAACAGATTAGTAAAATACAATTAATATAGTTTTAATTAAATTAATATCTATGTCAATTTTTTTAAGTTCAAGAATGATTGACAATACACGATTAATCAATGAAATTAAGTTATTACCCAAATAAATCGAGTCGTATCAATAAAATTAGGTTTTAATCAGATATAAAGTTTATTATAATTTGAATTCAGATAACCAGATATAAGAATTTTTTATCGCAATGTGATAAAATCTACCATAAAATTTTTATTAGCCAATATGTAGATAAAGTGATTATCAGTTTGTGCAATTTTATACTAAAAAATTATTTTTTTTTGAAATTTATTCAGTTGTCACAATACTTAAACTCTACTTTTTAATGAACAAAATTCTTAGAACAAATTTGAATTGTTAACATTAAGTTAAGTTAAGCCATAAAGTACCAAATATTATTGATTAAATGACAAATTTTAATTCAACTAAAGAACATTTTATATAAAATTGAATATATATTCAAATATCGAAGCATTGACGTAAAAGAATTTGCTAACATCACTAATTTAAACATTATGCAAAAATTACAAAGCGTAAATGGGCGCCCAATTTTGTTTACAATGCCAAAAATTTACATAAAAATAAATTAATTTCAGAAGACTTTATCAAATAAAATAAAAATCATTTTGCTATGTAATGATATTAATTAATAACTTTTTAATTGATTGAACCGTGTTCTTTGATAATGTAAATTATGATCAATAATATTAAAATGAAACAATCTACCACTCATATTTATATCTGTCGACAGTTTTTTATTGTACAAATATAAACTATGTATTCTTATAATATTTAAGTAGTACAAAATCATAAATTAAACTCGAGACTATTGGCGACGAAATTGGTGAATTTTTTTATTCATATGAAGATTTTATTGAAAACAAATAAGACGGCAATCTAGCAAAAAATTTTATCATAATATTTTTATTAGTCACTGATTGCTCAAGTCAAATTGGACCTTTGTGCTCCGCCCTACCCAATTTCAAGTTTTTGTGGTATAATATTAGTTTAATTTTTTATACAGGTTGAATAAGACAAACCTAATTTATCAGTACCAGTTTTCAAAATTTTGTAATAATAAATAATAAGTGAATGTAATTTAATATTATCATATACTAATACTAATAATAATAAATAATATAATAATAAAATATAAATAATGATAATAATAATGATAAAATAATAATAATAATAATAATAACTAATTATAATGAATATAATAAATATTAATATAATAAAATGTAATAATAAATAAGTCGCCAGGCGGCCAAAACAAAAACATTAATGGTGAAAAATATGGCGCTATTTTTTTTAAAGATAGAACTTTTTTTATAATAATAGTTTTCTACTTACATTTGCAATAGTGGTAGCTTGTACAGCAAAAGGCACAATGATAGCCAAAACAATCAAGGCACCATTTTGAAAATTAATACTGATTTGTCAAAATGAAGAAATGATTATTGAATCACTAAAATGACTATGACCTTCTATAGATTTTTGACAAGGTTTATATTCAACTTTATTAAATTTATCTCTCTTATCATTAGGCAACTATCTATTTTCACGTGCTTGCATATTTCTTTAACATGCGTTTCTGATAATCTTTATATTGTTTTTTAAAACTTAGGCCAGGTGTTGCAATAATAAACAAATTCATCCCAGGGTTCAATTATTAATTGGAATGAGGCACTCTAACATAATCTTTATAAAAGATTGGAAAATTTAAATTAATTAATTAATCTATGTATACGCAGAAAGAAAAAAATGCGATATTTGAAAAATTTAAAATTTAGCAAAGATTTATAGTTATTAACAAGTACAGTAGCTAGCCTCAAAACTCCGCGGGTAAAATAGTCCAACTCAAAATCAAATGAAGTAAGGATTTCTTAGCAACAATATATGAAAGTACAGGGCAAAAAATGTGTAACAAGTCATTACCTCAAAT